ATAAAGTGGTGTGGATCACCGTTTACGGTATAACAGATGACCAAGTAATCGAAAGAAATTTCAGAAACGATGAAAAAAAAACCTCAATTTGCTCTTCGAGTTTCTTAACCCAATCTGTTCGCAATCCATCAGAGACGGATTGGATCCTTTCTTCAAATTTCTTTAGAGCTGCACGTTTTTCTTTGTTATGCTGTCGCTTTAAAACCTCAAAATTGTTGCCAGCTTCTTCCATTTTTGAATACTAAAATAGAAGTTTAGATGTAGTTGGTAAACTGCAGAACACCCTTTTTTTTTGAACTCCAGCTAACAAATAACGAAGTAACATTTACCCAACAGAAGATGAGAAAAAAGTTACCATGCAATAAAGTTGTTCTAAATTGACAGCTGTACTTTGCAATCCATGCTTCAGTAAATCCTGAAAAAACTTCTATGTACAATGCAGATTCACACACATGATTTTCTTTTACCATCAATAAACAATGAGTGCAAAAGTCACATTTTTTATCTCTTCGCCGTAATAAGTCTCACATTCACCAACAATTTTCAGCGCTCGTTCTAATTTCATAGCATTTTCTTTTACATTTAACTTCATTTTATCGAGTTCATCCTAAAACCTCAACTCTTCTTTGTATTACATGCAATTACTATAGTTGTAATAAAAAAGAAACAGGTCTTTCACAATCCATGAAATAACGAACAAATTATTCAGCTTCTTATGTTATACCAGATTTCTCAAAAGAAGTTGCAAATACCATTAAAAAGTGACAAGATCACCTCGGCGTAGTTCTCCAGTGTTTTGACAAAGATTTCGAAAACTCCAGATTTTACACCTCGAACGTTTTTTTTGAATATTTCTATAGCGTCAGATTTTAACCGTTTATTAAATTCTTCAAATTCGGCAATAGTGGCTCTTTCGTCGTTCTTTTTTAAATGCTAAAGTGTCACATAAAGATTAAGTGATAAAAGAAACATTGATGTTTCACTTTTTGCATTGTTTGTGGCTCAAAACCAAAGAAGCAGCAACAGAGGTTACGAAAACACAGAATTTCACTGTTTTTACCATGAGATAGAGATGTTCAAGATCCACAGTTTCTCTCCCTTCAAAGTGTAAGTTGCAAAACTAAAACAAATTTATAATTTTAAAAAACATTTTCGCCATTCAGTAATTTCTATTCATTGTAAAAAAAAAGTAACTTTTAGTATAATTTCTAAAAATTTTTTCTATTTTAGGTTTTCGCTTAAGTTAATAAAATATAAGATTAATCTGCAGTCGATAATTCCAAAACAAATACCTCGCTCACTTTTCTTCTGTAGAAATTCCTGCACTCGTCAAGTGCTGATTCAAACATAACTTCTTCCATTCGCTGAAAAAAAAAAAGAAAAAAGTAGAGGTAGTCAAAGATAAAGCTTGCTATAACAGAAAATAGCATACTACTTCTGAGAAAGACAAAGAAAATGCTTGACATAACTAACCTCAAACAGGACTTTTGGCGGTGGAGCACTATTATTGTTAAACAGTTCAGTAAGTGCCTAAAATAGGGCTGCTTAAGACAAATAGCACACGTCTTGTTCAGCCTTTATAATCATTAAAAATTGATTGTCAAAAAACTCTAAACATACAATAAACAGTCGCAATAGCTCCCTACAGGTAACTTCTGCACCACCAATTTTTTTGACAATTAAATGATCTTTCGATAAAATCCACTTTGTAAATGAGCGCACTTCATCCAGGAAATCATTTTTGATTTCTTTGAAAAAAACAAAAATTTAAGCTTATTATAACAGTTGAATACCGATTGATATAAATATAGTACCTAGACAACGAAAGGGCTCTTCAGCTTCAGCAACTTCCAAACCTGGGTGAGGCATCAAAAAACAAGAAACTGTTTCAAAACAGTTTTCCACATTATTACAGATTTTTTGAATTTCTTTTGAACCGCTCTATAAAATACACAACTATTGACTGAGTTTAAAACCACACAAACAAAAATGTTTTTCAAACTATTCAGTTTAAAACATTTTTGGTAGTTCTTTATAACAACCTTAATAGTAATCCCATATTAACAAAAGCAACCTGTTACCTCAGTACATCTACGTAAATATGTGCGTCCGCCAACAACTCCATAGTTATATTCCGCCTTGTTAGGCCAATCTCGAATCAGATAAACGAGATTCTAAAACTTTTTTTTCTTTTTTATAAAAACAGCGTTCAAGAAAAACATTTTAAACGTATTTCTTTCATTAATATAGTGTCTATTAGGAACCTGAAATGGTTTTGCTTTTCCACTAAGTGTTGCGTAAAATCCATATTGCTTAAAGATTTCCACCTGTTTCATAAAGTCTAACTGCAGCCTTTCAACGAGGTTATATATCTGAAAAATAAGAGATTTTACACATTTAACTATTGAAATGCAAAATAAACTTGTGAATCTCGTAAACTGTTTTAACCAAAAATGAACTTTATTTAAAGTAAAAACTCCTCAAATTTTGTGTTTTATTGCAATTTTTTAGGAAACGTTTACGAATGTCTCGCCAGAAAATTTTTTGGTATGCCTACCTGAACGGAACACAACAAACTAGACAAAGCAAAAATCCTTGTGTAATCTTCCATCGTCGAATCTGCGTCAAAAAAACCTTCAGTGTCCATTAATATAACTGCTAACGTTTCGTTGTTGCCAATTTTTAATTGAAATGGTTTTGACCACATAGCTATTCCAGATGTATCTCTTGTAAACCCTAAAACAAATTAGGCTACTTTTATTTGAGCGCAAGAATTTTTTACGATGGAAACAGCATAACCTACTATTTTCACGTGTTATATCGCCTAGCATTTAAAAATGACCCGAATTGGTATTATTTGCTAACACTGGTGAAGAATTTTGCGATCTTCACGAAAAGTTGGTTAGAATTTAAAAAATATGAGAGAAACCATCACGGAACCGCTGTATTTGAATCCCGGCATAGAATCACGTGTTGTAATCCATCTGCCACTTGAACGATCTTTCGTGGACGCAGTCAAATACTTTAAGAAGAAATTCAACAGAAAACTTTTCCCAGTGTTAGAGGGACCGACAGTGCTTAGAACCACCACCTTTAATTACAAATGAATGTAACCCAAACAACAATTATACTGGAATAAAAACTTGCTAAGCAGCTGTAGAAAAAGCAGCGTTCAAAATTCTTATTTGAAAAGTATAGAAAGATTCAACTATTGTAATCAGCAAAATGAACGGGTGCTGTTTCAGTTTGGTAACCTCAATCTCTCTTCAGCCAATAAAGCCAATAAACACTACTTGTCACAACTGTCGCTCTGTTTCATTACAACCAACAAAAGCCATAGAAACCCCGAATTGAATAAAATAATTTTTTCTTTTTTAACTCCTACTTTCTTGTCTTGAACTTCTTCAGACAAAAAGAGTTTGTTGAGAGCATCTATATCCAATTTCCACTTTCGATCTTTTGCTCTTTTTAAAACGTTGACTGTACAACCACATCCCATGTCTAGCCTAATTAATCCACCTTTCCAATTAAAACCTGCAAAAAACCTTGCAAAACTTCTTAAATTTGAGAAACCTATAAATATTAAAAAACTACTCGCAAAACGGTAATTATTAAATTAAAAAATATTTTTATAGCTCGTTGTCAAAAAAGAAGCTCAAAAAACAGCGTTTAAACCATACAAAACTAGCTGACGCGGTATGCGAATTATTCTCCCTTCGTTGAAATTCAACACCGTTTCAAGCAGATCTCCTGGTTCTGTAATTGATTATATCAAATTTTGCGAAAGACGATTTTAATTAAAAAGACGCTATCCTGAACAATTCGACTTCTTGCAAAAAAAGCAAGCTTCAACCGTAGTTAACAGACAATACTCCCTTTTCAGCGTTCCTGCATTTAAGCATCACCCACCCCAAACCTGATTCTTTCTGACAGTCCACGTCCAGTTCAAAACCAGCAGTCACTCAGCATGTTTTGACCAGCAAGTATAAAACCTTTCGCCAAACTATAAGTGCTCTTTCAAGAAAGTTGCTATTTCGTATCTGCCATTGCAAAAAAAAAAGTTACAGGAAAAGACAATTTATTATTTATCCTTTATTTGCTTTTGGTTTCTTTCAGTCAAATACCTCGACGTCTGTAAAGGGTAATGCAAAAAATATTTACGTTTCATGCTAAGTTTGTTCTAAATTTAAATTATTTCTAAACTATGATATGAACTGAAGTAGTATAAGGAGACTTTATAAACAAATCTCAACTAATCTGTCAGCTGCAGATTTCAAAAACGGAAAAGTTGCTTGGAAAAGCAGACAGGTATTTCAAAAAACAAACATTCGATTTGGTTGAGTAAAATTAACTGCTATTTATTCAGGTACTTTTTTTCACACCGAAGAAATTTTTGTAAATTGTAGGTTACTCAAGTTTTTTTTTTCAAGTTTACCATCTCAGAAATGTGACTGCTTAACTGCTTAGGCAACATATCACAGAAACGTATCACTTCTACAAAGTTTCATGTAACTTAACAAATTTCACTTTGAAGTGCTTTATAAAATCTACGAAAATAATACTGGTTTGCTTTTGAAACATTTGATAAACCGAAATGGTCGTGGAACTTTAGATTGCCATAAGTTGACAGAGCCATCCACGCCGGTTCTTCTAGCAGGAATTGTTGCACTGATGTAACACCATCCGTGATCTGCTCAAATATATACCGAAGTCGAAATCGCATTTACGTCTGAGAGAACTATAAGTGACTACGAAGCATTGCAAATTATAATGTCTTTTTCTAACAAACTGAAAAGTGAGTAAGAGTTAAAAGAATCTGCAGAGTCTTTTGCAGTTTGCTAACAACTTATGATATTCAAAAGTTCCAAGATTACTTAGATTCAAGAAGTATTTTAAAACCAAACCAGCCCCATTTTTGAAAAATGTATACCGCACCTAAAAGTAGACATTGTTAAATTACATAAAATTATATGAAAGGCTACGATATGTTGACTCAGAAATAAAGCAATTAGATTTTTTGAAGATGGTAAGCTCAAAAAAAATAATTCGATTAACCTGCAATTTATAAAAATCTCTCTGGTATGAGAAAAAGTTTTTGAGTGAATAACAATTAATTTTATTTAATCAAAGCGAATACTTGTTCTATGAAGTACCGTTTCACTTTTCAAAACATTCTTTTTCATTTTTGAGACTTGCAGTTGAATATTTAGTCAAGATTTTCCTGTAAAGACTCTTTGTACAGCTTCAGTCCACATTAAGTTTAAAAAAAAGAGGTAAATAAAAAACTGCGTTCCTCTGATAACTACGTTTTTGCCATGACCA